GAAGAGCTGGTTGCTCGACACCTATCCAAAACCTGAGCGACCAAGGAGCAGAAGCTCCTGAAGATGGACTCGAGCGTCACTGCCTAAAGCGGGTCGAAGGTGGAATGGTACAGAAAGCGCCTGCGTGTACGAGGAAGATCTGCGTATTCTGTTTGATGGACTATACTATGGCGTGTCTAGCCCCAAGGTCTACCAAGACGCGGTCTTTCTTGCGCTGATGTGGTATGCTTTTGACCCAGCCCCCGATCTTGTCAAGGGCAATCTTTCTGCTAGTGCCGATGGAGTGGTGTTTGTTAGGCTCATCCGGGTGAAGACAGCAGAAGAACAAGGATTTCGCTTTTGGCCGACAGGGACAGCTTCATAGCAAGTCCTCTCCACGCCATCGCAATGGCATTAGTAATGCAGGCTTTTTCGAGCGCCCAACTACTCGATCATTCTCATCTTGCTGCAGGAAGAGAAGAGAGTGTGGCAGTACCTGTCGACATCCCACTATCGCACATTTGAAGACGATGGTGTTGTGACAGAGCCCCCTCAAAAGAAACGCAAGGTACCTGAGGATAGCATGAAGATTCATGCCTATGTGAATCGCCTTGTCAAGTCCACATCGACTGTCCTAGCCAAAGCGAAACCCACTGGAAATTATACATCTCACTCATTTCGGCGTGGTGGGGTCCAACATGCCAACAGCGACCCACTACTCAGTGTCCAATTGATTTACGACAGAGAGTCGTGGGGCATGACAGTAACTAACAAGGCATTCGCATACGTGTTCAGCACAGCAACTGAATACCAAAAGGTAGCTCGAGTACCCAGCAGGTGGGACTCCAGCAAAAATCCGCCTGTTTCCACACTTTCCTAGTTTGCCTCCGCGAGCCGAGAGCAAGCACCGAAATTGGGAAATCGGTTATTTCAGCCTAGCATCTACTCTCAGGATGCAGAGAAGAAACTGAACGGACAAGTGGCTCAAGTTCTAATTGCGTCATCGATCCAACATTTCCCAGATGTACGCGAGCGCTATCCGATGTGCGTGTACGCCACTAGAATGCAAAAATGCCTCATGTCACTAGGGCTGTCAGAAACTAGCGTGGAGCTTGGACCTGCAAGGCATGGTCACATGGAAGGGCGTCCAGGGAAGGAGGATAACGAATACAAGTTAACTAGAGTAGAGAAGCTTATCAACCATCAGAATCGCAATATAGGCGAGCTATTTGCGATGAACCGGTCGTTGACCGACCGAGTGAGCGTGCTCGAGCGTACGGATAATGTCAGTCAGGAGGTAGCACCCTCGCGTCCATCGTTCACTTCAGCACAACCAGACGTAGTACGTTCGGAGATCCCTGTCCAACCCAAGACGTGTGGGAGCAAGGCGCTTCCCAAAGGCCCAGCCGCCATTTGTTTTGAGTGTGACGCGAAGACCCCAAGGCTGCGGGAAGTGTGTGGAGATCGCCAAAAGAAGTCTGCCTACGAGCAAACGGTGAACTACATGAAGCTGTTCTTGCCTAGTGGGTTTCATCTCGACCCGTCCACAGCGACATACAGCGATCCGGTGCTTCGGGCTGGATAGGAAGCGGAAGCAAACTTGCTAAATAATTTTCAGGAGCGAGGTACTAAGCGCAAGAGCGGGTCTTCCGGCTTAAGCAACTGCGAAAGTTCTTCAGGGAAGACAAGTTGAATAAGCTGATAGAATCGCATCGGGCTCGTGTTGCGAAGGGATCACGGATCCCGCCCCACGCAAAACTAAATACCTTCTTTCGTGTAAGTAGAGTTTTAATATTAGCGAATTCGGGGTTAATAACGTTTTCCAATTGCTCTGGTGGTCCCAGTCCCAAGATCGACGTTGAAAACAATATCTAAGTCGCATTGTCCTGTGCTGCTTAGCATTGAGCTTGACCGTGGTGGTACCAATATGACAATATACAAATATAAGCTATAATGTGTGTTTTATTTGCAATTTTAAAGTAGCATATATAAAATAATCATGTAAAAGAAAACCTTATTTTGCCTGCTCACTTTCCTCGATGGCATAAACACCATCGGCCTCGGCAAAGAAATGACGCAATCCTTCCTCAGTGCTTGCCTTGTAGACAAATTCATCTGAGTCGATAGTGTAGTACTTGTCATGCAATAAAGCTCTGGCAATACGATGCGATGTTCCTTTCTTCTGGCCCAATGCTCTACCGATGATCATTAGATGCTTGTATTTAGAGTAGTTGGGAGCTTCGATCGGTGCTTCTCGAGGACGTTCCAGACTGCGTGGCGGCGTACGAGGTAACCGCTCCAATGGCAACATGTCTTCCGGGCGGCGCTTCGTGGTCCGCTTCGCGTCTTTCGAGGGAGGGGATGTATCTGGTGGCGCCTTCTGTGTTCCAGCGGTTTCCGAAAGACGTCCACGCGTTGGCCATCGAATTTAGTGTCACAGTCCGTGTTACTGGGACTGGATTGCTACGTGTCCGTCGGTGTCGGTGGAACAAGCTTCACATCTCGTCGTCACTCAGCGGCTCGCGCAAGCCACTGTAGCCGTACAAGTCCGACCTTCCCAACTCCTCCGCGTTTGTGTCGAAGCCCCTGCTGTTGGCACGGGTGTGCTTTCCACGCGTCCGCTTTTCCACCGGCGTCCGCCATTGATCCAGTGATCCAGCCCTGTTGCTCCCCAGCTCAACTTGCTGAGTGACCGCAACCGTAGCGTCTACGTACTGATCTTCGAATCTTAGTGGGGGTGGTGTGACAGGTCTCTGTCACCGTGAGTGCACGGTGGCCAATTAGATGCCAAGACTATCGTTAATGGCTGTGACGGCCTTGGTGTCGTCACGCCAATCAACCAGAGTTTAATTTACATGCTTCCTTTCACTACATTGTGTGCTTGGTAACGGGTTGTCTTTAGCCTGTTTCATTGTCGGATACAGTATTGTTCTTGGCTTCACGCGTTGATATTCAGCATACCAGCCTATGTTGCATTTCCTTTTCGTACCAGTTTTGGCACCCCCAGCTAATTTCTTATCAACCGTTTGCCGAAGCTCGAAGTCCTAAGGACATTGTCTTGCTATTCAGATGCTCGACTGCTATTCATCTATCACATTCGGATACAGATATCTACACTAGCTATCCGCCTCATCTACTATGTCAGCGACGGACGATAGTTTCATGTAGCCCAGGTGCACAATATGTATTGTGTTACCTTTTGGAATACATCATTGCAATATTGCTGGCGGCCAAAATATAGATTGCAGTTTCCTCTACGCCTTCAATATCGTACTAAGGTGTTCAGAAACGTATTGCAATCCGGCCAATGTATTTTTTCAGACCTCCGATGGTATCCCTAAACACGCCACCGATTGCACAACAGCATATTCTATATAGCACTAATGCCCCCCATTACTTCCAAGCTGTGTCCGCCCCTGCGGGGATCTTAAGACGTTTAAAAGCTTGTGGAAAACTCGGGCGCGCGCCCAGCACGGAGGGTGTAGCATCTTCGCTGCTTCAAATATACCATACCTCCTGGCAGGTTAAATTTTCGGCAGGCTAAGCAAATTTTTGGGAGAAAGTACGCTGATGCCCTGTTTCAGGAGGAATAATGTGATTTGTGCTAGCACTTATGACATATGATTGCCTAAAATCGAGCTAACGACACTTGTAATTTGGTTCGTGTTCTGAATGATTTTTTTTCAGAATACCCACAGGAGGCGTTCTAAAGCAAGAGCACAAAGTACCCCGATCTAAAACCACACACCCAATCGCTGACTTTATAGCAATATTTCGTAAGTGCTACCTGAGGTAACGCCAATACAATAGGTATAACTCATTTCTGCTGGGCCATAAGGCGAAACCACAGCTTCTACCGACAAATCATGGGGTCGATGCAGTATCATTGCCAGGAGCGAGTTTGAGCGAGAGAAATTACATGCGCTAGGATGACAATTCGCATTTTTGTTACTTAGAATGCTTAAGTGGGAGCGTTTCTATTGCTTAGCCAAGAATGCAGCTGTAGAGCGGTCTCAGTCTATTTGGTGTCATTTTGGCTTGGAATGTTTACAATAATTTTACGATATTTACACCAGAAAGACAGTGTTGTGCGCTCTTCTCGAAATTGCCGCGCGCGGCTCTTTGATTGAACGCGCACGCAATAGCGCAAATCTGTCATCGACGGTTTGAGTGAAGATTCATTTAAGTACGATCTAAGATCACCTAGGTACAATCTGGGCCGTTCCAAAATAACAAGAAATATGTATGCGAGTGATTCATTGGATTTGAACAAACACGGCAGATTTGGTCGGAATTCACAATATCGTTCAAATCAAACCGCAGTAGTAGCTCTTACATTTTTTCTTTTTGTACTGCTTCTACTGCCGGTACTATCCCTGGTGGACTCAATTTGAAATGGCACTCAAATCGAGACGACGATTTCCTATATTGAAAACACATTTAAAAATAGGTTTTGTCCTTCCAATGCGCTTAGCGTACTCGTACTTAAGCTGCGGCGGTAAAGACTGCTGCGATGCGTCCTACGCCATTTAATCGGACCAAAACGAGCTCAAAGCCATTGGGTTTCGTACCTTCAAAGTCCAACTTGACAGCATAATCACAATAACCCTTTCCAAGCTTCCAGACCACATGCAGACTGATCTTGTAATGCGTTTCAACGATGCATCCGCTTCATTCGATGTTTCTAGAAGCAGTCTCTATCGCAGGGCTGTCGGTAAGGCTACCCTCGCCGCGAAACCTAGACATAAAACTGTGTTGTCGAAGGCAACTGAGGAAGGGATTGTCGAAGCTATTCGGACGGAGATACAATCCAACAATTCGAGACGGACAAATGGTGGTCCATTGGGTCAGAATCAGAGCGGATCTTCGGACCGGTACTCGCTAATTCTGAGTCGTTTAAACGACACAGCGGGCACGAGCAAGCGTGCTGAGCCTCACGGTAACGAACAATACAATGCCTACTCTACATCGGCACTGCACGAAGAACTTTAAGCTAAAGATTTCCGGCGAAGGTTTCTCAATTACATGGCGCCATTCAACTGCAGCAAGAAGAAGTGGTTTTAGAAGTTGGCCATTGGACCAAGCCAACGAAATGGAGGCCATCCAGTTCCTTCTCTTCCGTCGTTGAGTTGGTGGTGGTGGTAATACCGAAGCATCTTTGACGGCTTCTGATTGGTCGATAAATGAAGAAACTTCAAATATCTTCGATAACACATTCAAATAGGATCATGTCTTTGTGCAAAAACCAAAAGGAAGCGAATTACCCCATGTACTCAAATACTTTGTCGTGATTCGACAAAAAACGGTGCGCACGAGGTACTGGCGGTGCGGAGGGATGGAAGCGTCGCGGGCGTGAGACCCGCGGCCCGTACGCGTTCGTTGGGGAGTGGCACGATGATCGTTGTGCTCCAAGATCGCCTCCACGATATGACGGACGTGGTCAGCACTATCAACGAGGGGTACAGGGCTGTCACGCTGAAACTGTGTGGCGTGACCAGTGCGAGGAGGTCGAGACCGCTCGGGGCCTGTAGCGCGCGGTGGAAAGGCTGAGCCATCTGGAGCGCGAGATGGCGAATAAGCCTCCGCGCTCTGAGCGGGGGCATCATGATTGGTGGAAGGCGGAGGTGCGGGGGTACCATCAGCGCTAGGGATGGAGGGTGGGTGATAACGTCGGAGTCGCCCGACGTAGACCGTGCCGAATCTTGATCTAAAACAGGTTGGTGTATGGCCGAATCGGGTAATCCCTACATCACAGACACTCTCCCTAGCGCGCTTAGTGAGGACGTTTCGTGTCAAATTAAGATCAAAGCAGAGAGTTCGGCAAGAACCCTCTGAAGTGTCAGAGACTCCAATTGAGTGGTGGTAGGGCAAACGTAGTTCGTAGCGTAGCTCTTCGAAGTAAGAGCATGGATGTGCTTTTACGTGGTCCTGAACGAAGGCACACACGGCACGAGGTCATCTAGATGGCCTCGCTCTAGTCTCCGCTTTACAAAAATTGCCTGTTGTACAGGAAAGCTTATACCATCGAGCGAGACTGTGGTCTGAAAGCCCAACACACTGGCAGCTGTAGTAGTGTCAATTAAATAAACGTACATCAATACGATACCTCTCCAACGAATATCTAGTGAGTAGATCATCTCCTTTACTCTGACGACGGGGTAAATCTCCGAATGCTAAACGAATACCAGCCATTCGGACAATTTCTCGCTCACAGGCTTTTCAGTCCGATGACAGCCTGTTGTCTGAGTTTGCAAACTTCTCAGTGATCGATATAAATAATTTAGGTTTATCTAAAACTGAGTTTAATTTTCTACTTTAAAATGGTAACATAGTACCTGAAACCTAATCTCGCCAACGAGAAAGGCACTTTTTCAAGTTCGATTCGCCAAAAGCTTTGAAAGACACATTAGTACAAATGTTTTGAAGCGCTTATGGAGTCGATTGTACTGAAATAATAACACCGGTAAAAAAATGAAAATATGCGTGCGATATGCCCACATCTTGAAAAATGTAAGGGGAAAACATATTTTCCGTGCCCCTCGACCTGATACGTCGGATGTGGAGTTAGAAGACTAACCTACCTCCTTAACGTTTTGATTGGTCAAGACTGACATTTTACTCGAATATGATTGGTTATCTTAGAAACACAATATATGATTAGCCATTAATGCTTATTTATAAAGCTCTGGGTCCATCCTTCGCTATAGCTAAGCTCACAGAGTTGTCACAAAAGTACGTTGGCTAAATGATTAACAAAAAGCGCGGATTGGTTAAAATAATGTGAATTACGAATATTACGTACGTTACATAAAATGATGGAGAGTGATAGCGAATACTGCACGTTAATTGAAATACATGAATTAAAAAAATGGAAGCCGGAGCGAGCTTGAACATGCTCGCACAGTATTTTAAGCTACTATGTACTACAGTTACGTACAAGTGAGGCATCTTCCGAACCCGGACTACATTCTGTTCGCTCCTAACGCGACCTGGCCGCTCAAATGCTAGAAATAAAACAAAAAATGAATGTTGCGCTAACTCTCAGTGCCGTTACTACTCAAAATATTAATGCTGTTTTCAAGTATAAAGATATGAGCTGATCTAGTAATAATATTTTAGAAAATGACTTGATAATAAAAGGCAAGTTTCAAAAATATAATTCGAAATAACAGTTAAAATCTCATTTTACCGCCCCAGTGTGTCATATTAGGTTTAGGGGGATTGATACAAAAGTTTCACAGTAGTAATCGCCATCTTAAAAGTGCTATCCGTAGGTTCAATAGAAAAATACGCGTAATGTATAATAACGTTTACATGCATTGTGCCTGCCTTACATTCTAATAGTAATGGTTCAGAAAGACGTTCATTCCCAGCTTGAAGCACAGAGTATTATTCTACATGATTGGATGTGTCTGCCAATGTTCACGCTACTTGCGTTTGCATTTTTACTCAGTTTTTTAGGCTGATGTGTAAATAAGTTTAGAGGTCTCGGATAGACCTATTATAAAGTTGCGCTTACCCAGCAGTAGCGCACCATTTCGGGACGTTTCGGCACGGTAAATACGGTACTTAATCGACTACTTGCAATTTACATGACAATCAAATGTTCCAGCATGTGTTCGGTCAAGTGACTTTAGCTATAGTGACTACAACTATAGCTCAATCGTTTGGTGTTGGTAACTCTGTCCTCAATTGCTACATATCATTTCCCTGTAGAGTACATTTTTTTGGCGGTATACTGTGCGTAAAGAAGTCCGGCGAGATCGCAAGTAAATAAACAACATCAGGAATACACTAAAAACATATTATCTAATTTTTTCACATCATTGTTTTAATGTGAAATCCTACTACATGTATGTATGATCGCTGGAAACACTGCTAGCTAACCCATACCATTAAATTGTCAATATCGGCTGACGATGCCGACAAGACTATAATTAGCCGAAAAAATGTAAAAGTGAATGGTCTACGAATCTTCCAAACTGCAACAGCTTTCTAAAACAGCTACTAACAGATTTCAAAAAACATGAACTTAGCAAACACAACGTATTCTAAGTGCAAAGGCTGAGCTACACAGCCTACTCCATGCAGTGTTGGGTATCGTGTTGCTGACTTATCATCTCCCGAAAGAGCTGGGAGGTGAGAGCTGGGGGATGACTTCTTCTTCTGTTGCGACCAACAATCAGTTTTGGCACATTGTTTTTCCGCTGTTTTGCACCTCTCGTATATTATCGCGACTGGCATACAATACGGAATGCAACAGCAAAAAAATCACATGCAAACACGACACTCGTTAATGAGGACTACTACTTTTGCAGTATTTTGATATATTTAATAGCACACCGTAGTACCGAGTGCATTCAATGAAGCGGTAAATCACAAATCTTAAAAGTTTTTGTCTGTAGTCAGTTGTTTTTACAACTGCAATCAAAAGATGTGTAAAAGCATATCAATTGCTGATATCTGCATTGCGCTAATGATGGAAACGCTGAAAGCTAATGCACTTCCCACTTGCTAGCGCTACTACATCAGAGACATCCAGGCTAGATCACAAACTACATAATTTCTTGCGCTTTTTGGCTGAATGGCTGACAGCATGTTAGTCCGTGTCAACCCCCTTCCAGCTCACTTTTGCTTTTGAGCTCCCTTTAGCCAGCGTTCAGCTTGCGCCCGTCTTGCGGGAAACGTCAGCGTGGGGTAGAAATTGGGAGTATTTCGGTGCGCGTTTCTTCCGGATCCGGCGATTCGCTAGACAATATGTTTCGATCTCGTCGAGGCATACGCATGATCGACAACGAGCTTCGTATACTGGCTCGTGAAGCTGCGAAAGCTGACGGTGTGCCAGTGAACGACACCTTTTCAAATGAAAAATGGCCTTTAAAGTTTGTTCGTCGTCACGGTGACCAGTTGACTCGCAAATAATACCCAGATTCTAGACACCAAGATCTAGAATATGTCTACAGAAGAACGTATTCGATCTTTTCACAGTGAATTAGAAAGCGTAATGAAGAATTTGGGACCATCTTAAGTGTGGAACTGCGACGAAGCCGGCTTCTGGCCTCAAGGACAGAAAGCACCGCGTTTGATATGTGCCAAGGGGTGCCGAGCGAATACTTTGCACTCAACCGATCGAGACAACGTGTCCGTAATGGCGTGAGTTAGTGCCTCGGGTGATCAAATCCCGTCAATGTTCATCTTTCCAGGGAAGCTACGTCAACCCAACTGGGTGATTGGCTCTTTACAAGACTCTGTGTGCGCTGTGACAGGGTCTTCAAAAACTAACGGATTCTTGTTCTTGCATTGGATAAAGCTCTTCAATGAGCAGATGAAGAAGAAAGGAGTACCTCGACCGGTTTCTGCTTTAATTGGATGGTCATTTTTCGCGCGTGAATGGACCTGTTTTACGGTATGCTGTACAAAGCAAGATCTATTTATTTGTTCTCTGCACATACAAGTCATTTTACGCAGCCTCTTGACCACACTGTGCTTTCTTCGTTAAAACACATCGATGAAAAACTGCTGTCTAACTTTCCACTACGATTCGGACGTCCTCATGCCACTTAATTTGATCTCGCTGGATTGATGAGCGAAGCTTGGCAAGGTGTAGCACTCACTGAGCACATCAAGTTGGAAGGAGCCGTCTCCGAGAAGAACATTTTCAAAGCGTACAAGAGCTCAGGGATATTACCTTTCTCGATAGACACAATGTTGAGACGAATCGTGGGTAGCAAACCGGTTCTCAACCAACTACCGCACGTGAAATTGCTCTCTAACGACCCGAGCTACATGACCGCCAGAAGCGGAAGCTGAAAAGAGAATGTATTTCAGCTGATGCAATTTCGGCAGTGCTCATGGGATTACAGCAAGCAGTTCAGCTTGCACCCGGCGTGCAAACGCCTAAGCGGAAACGCACATATTTGAAGAGAGGCGTATTAATGAATCACCCTTATATGGTCCTTGCTGTAACCGAGGCAAAGGAGAAACTTCGCCGCTTAGCTGACGAGCAAACGGCGAAAGCACAAGTCCGAGCCGATATTAAGCACCAGAAAGCCCAAAGTGATAAAAAGAAGAGAGCAGAGAGAGAGCAGAAGACGATACAACGAGCTCAAGCCGCAGTAGACAAGCTTCTTGAAAAGAAAAGAAAAAGCCGCCGAAACGAAGGAAGCACATAAGATTTTTGCTGCGAAGAAGCTGGCCTCCAAAGCCTTTAAATGTAAGAAGAAAAGGAGGACCAAGTCAACACCGACCGCAATCACTCTGCCTGTGTCTAGAGCGAACAGTGACGCTGCGTTTGATAGAACTTTGCCTGTTGGTAGAATCGTCGGAGTTTTATGCCAGTCTATGATTACACTTAGGTTTTGTAAAGTGTAATCACATTTCGAGTTGAGCCCACTTATGACGTGCGTTAGACTAACGAACTGAAAGCCTGATACCAAAGTAATTCCTCATTTATCTCCGTGAATGAACCCACTCAGCTTGCATGCATTGAACAGGGGTGAATCGCAGCTTTCTTTCTATTCAATTGCGGACAGTTTTTTTCTTCTTGTAGCACAGAACTTTTCCTGCGGCACTTTTGCCGTTTCAAATTGAGTCCGCCGGAGAAAATCCATACAAAAAGTAAAAAACATGCTAAATGAGCGGGTCAAAAATTACAAACACAACTATAACATGCATAACATTAAGAAAGGGAATTTGACAAAATTGTCGGTATTTCACCAAATTGGATGTTGAATACTTTCAAAATAAACAAGCTTTAAGAAAATGTGGTATCCATGCTCTCACACAAGCCACAAGACAACCACACTTATTACAGACACCGTCTTGCAAATGACATGACGTGTAGCAACTGCTACAGGTGGGTCATACGCGCGGGTGGAGCAGCGTGAAAAGGTCTTGTTCTCTGCATAGACCCAGCTTCCAGACACACACGTGGCCTCCGCTACGTTGGTGTCCGTGGATCCGGTGTCCTTGGCTTCCTGGGTCTCCGTCAAGCATGCAATGTTCCCACACACTTCGTCCAGATACATCCGATAGAAGTGCGAGTAGACACACCTGTCCGCCACCTCCACACACAACGATCGGCACGGTGGTAGCGGTACCATAGCTGACCCTCCGGTAGCTGCACAGCTCACAGATGTGCCATTTACGTTGCGATGGAACGTAGTGGTTACCCACGACAGACAGTGGAAGTTCCACACGAGCTTGTGGCACGCCGGCGTGTCCTTAAACTGCTGCTGCGTACCGAACGGGCTGAGTGCCAGGGTCTTAACGTCTAAGTCCTCACATACTCCTTGCTTCTCAAGCTGCAAGGAGGTGTCTCTGTAGGTACACAGTATCGTCAGTGGACTCAGTACCGTTTGATGTGGTTCGCGCTGTACCTGGAGTAGCCAGCGATGGGGTCGAACATGAACTGGCCGTTCATGATCGTGCAGTATTTGAGCCCCGCGCACTTGACGCAGTGTTGCGGCTGGAATATTCCGACGGCGGCTGCATGAGCACATCTCGAGGACAACGCAACAACGATGAAAATGATCAACAGCGTGTGGGATCGCCCCAGTCGACTAAATCTTCGTCTACAGCCATGTTGAAATCGTCTTGACACCACGTCATCGCCAGCTGTTACCGGAACTGAAGGATGAGTCATCGCCGTGTCATTGATGCTCATCGCTTGGTGGTGGCTTGATACTGGCCAAGAACGGAAGATGGCACGATGGTCTTATCAGCGAGATGGCAATCAGTTTCGACGTCAAAGATATTAGCGCGACGGTTGGGCACAAACCGCCTCCTGAATCTCAACGGCAAAGGAAAGGGCCAAGCACGTACGCGAGTACTCGTGTGCGTGCTTGACCCGAGCCAAGTGAAGGACCTTCACTGAAGGTTCACGGTATGCATCGGATACTAATATCTTGTCAAATGCGGAAGAAAGTTGCTCGGGTGTTCTCCGCTGCGAGAGATGCCACGGTGACACGGTGTTACACTGTCGGTGCGATGGCCAGCCGTCTTGGGTTCGCTTTCAGCTGCCTCGATGCTGCCGGCAGCTATCGTAAACAGTCAACTCGGAGTTGATCGTGAAGCCCAAAAAACCAAGTACAGTATGCCATTATTGGCGTGGCAGTTAAAATATCGGAGCCCTAGGAGACAACCTGATATTGTGCTGTGCAACACGAGTAGTGTGCAACGTCAGCTCCTTCCTTGAACCGGTGAATACCGGCTGAACCTGCTATTTCGTATATTTATATATGTATAGATTAAACGTAATATCATTTTGTACTCGGTTAAACAGACATTATTAAGATGTTTGCTACCTAGATACAATATGATCTAGAAGACAAAAATAAAACACTAGCAAGGAAAAATCACAATCAGGTTGCGGAAAGGTTTTTCTACTGGAACAACAGCAGTAAAGCGCGCGCAAAGTGCTGGCAACGCGAGCTTGACCAGTCAGCGGCTTTCCATTCCCGTACCTCTGATCTCTTCAGCCTGCTGTGCGTGCGTGTGGCCATTCACCAACTCGCGCCGGCCGCGTCAAGATCGATCCGATAGTTCTCTACAGACCAATGCAGGAGAACCGGCCCGAGGTGGCCGCCTACTTCAAGGCGTTGTTGCAGTCACGGCTGCACAGCCCTCCCATCCGCTGCGGCTTCGCTGGTGATGACAAGGGCAAGGCCATGTATGCTGGCCGTGCGCTCAAGGCTGGCGAGCCAATCTGGACCGAAGCCCCGTTCGTGGCCATGCAACACGAGGACAACAAAGAGTTTGTGGACTGCTGTGAAAACTGCTTCGTGCCGCTTGTAGACAGCAAGGCCTGCTGGGCCCGCGTGATGGCCAGTCGGGCCGAAGTGGAGGGCGAAGCGGCCCCCGCTGATGAGTCCTCGGCCAGCGTCGCCGACTTTGAGGCCGCCATCGCGTTCTTACAAAAAGAAGGCGGCAAGAGTCCCGAGGAGAGCTACTTTTCCGTCTTTAAACTGGCCGAGAACCAGGTAAAATGCACATGTGGCTCGATCTACTGCTCCGACACGTGCAAAAAGATTGCGTACGCGCAACACCACGCACTGCTGTGCTCGCACTCGGAAGACCGCGAGAGTGGCATGGGCCAGTTCCTCAACCACACACTAGTGACCAACGAGATCTTCCAGCTCGCGGCCAAAGTCGTGGCCAAGATGCTGCTACTCTTTGTGGCCACACAAGACATGGCCCAGGCCCGACAGCCCGTCGACATGTTTTGCAAATTACCGTGGTGGGAAGTCATCAGCTCGGAAGACGATCTTGAAGAGGGCGAGACGCTCGAACAGTACCGTGACAAGTTCCGGGCCCTTATCTCTCAAACCTTTGAGCGTTTCCTGGGTGGCCTTAAGGAGAACTTGGTGCATTTAGAGACACACGGCGAACTCCATGGCCTCACGGCCGACGCCGTACTGGCCTCGTGCGACGAGGTTTTAAACGTTGATTTTTTCAGCCGCGTCGTGGGCATGTTCGAGATGAATAACATTAGTATGGAGATTGACCACCCGTTCCACGCTCTGGGCGAGGCGTTGAGTGAGGCCAGTCCCGAGGAGAAGAAGGACATGCCGCCGGTATTGGCCCGTGTCAAGGCCGCGTTGGAGAAGTTCGCAGAGGAACACAAACACCATCTCTGCGACGAGGAGCACGAAGACGAAGAAGATGAGTGTTACGCATTGGACGAAGACTTTGTGGGTGTGGAAGGCACAGCGCTGTTCTCGGGTATCTGCACAATGAACCACAGCTGCGACCCCAACTGTACGGTGCTGTACACGAAGGATGGAGCGGCACATGTTTTCGCGGTCCAGGACATCCCGGTACGGCATTTTTATTTAAAATTTGAAGAGAGAGGTGACGCGCTGACTTGGTGGCTTACAGGAGGGTGACGAGCTGTGCATCTCGTATATTGATGTGGACCAGGAGGTGGACGAACGGGAGGAGTGTCTTCGGTACGTTGGTTGTGTGATGTTCTACCTATGTGATAAAAACTGTGACTTACCGAAGCCGTTTAACACTCCGTGTATTGGCGGCCAAGTAGGGAGTACCAGTTTGTGTGCCATTGCGCTCGCTGCCAAGAGGAGAGGAAAGCATAGTCGTACAAATGAGGGGCGGAGAGACCTCGATAATGCAACGAGCCACCACGAGTTGCTATTAAAGTAGCCCTCCGCTGCGCAAACAGTATACCGGTAGGCGTGCAAGTAGGCCCGTATGGCCGACAAGAACAAGTTAACGTGGCACGTAAATGATAAATTTTAAAATACGTTAAAGTTTTTAATCGCATTACACGTGTTGCTGTGTCCAGCTGAGGTCACATTGTTACAGCTGGAGTACTTAAAAGGCCACTGTAGCGCGTTTTGCACTCTCATTCGTTGGCCGCGGCCTCGAAGTCAATTGTGACCGTCGGCATCACTCTCATTTCATTCGATAACTCAGCTATCAGGTGATCAACATCACCAGAGCCGAATACTAAAATAGTTCATTTTAATATGCTGCAGTATTTCCTGGTATCATTTTACCCGTTACAATTGAAGGAGTACTGCGGCCGCAAAGTGATACATGTACTGTAGCATTGAAAGGTCCATTTTTGGCATCACAACATAAGCTACTCGTTGCTGCTCGACTAACGGACCCATTTGAAGTTTCATTTATTATGGAAGGATTAGAACGTACACTTTAGCGACCCCCAGCCCTGTTGTAAAACCTAACAGCCACTTTTGGTAATAAAATGATTGACTCACAACTATATGGACTCGCTCCCCTCACAGACTTTGCCTGTAACGGGCTTTCAGCAACCCATTATCTTACGTACACTGTGCGTGAGGAAGCAGGCAAATTAGACTCTGATGTATTGATCGTTAACGGCGTGGTCCGAGACCACGCCAACCAGTAGATGTGTTCTACAAGCTGATTGGCCATCGCATTGGATGCGATGGCGATGTGCGACGATGGGCCCGTCACACCATCCCCCACTTCAAAAAGAAAGCACGCAGCATATTCCTTTTTATACGGCGCGACGAACTGGGTATCGATGAGCGAGCGAGACGACGACTCGACCACGTACGCGGAGGCGCTGGAGAGGTGGGCGCTGCACGATTGCAGCGCCTTCGTGAACGCCCGCAGTGATGACGAGATGAGACGGCTGTTTGAGAGGCTCCGCGCGACAAGAGGCAAACCCGTCACGGCGACAGCCACCGTGACACTCCAGTCCCTGGATCGAGCGTGGACTTCGTTCGTGCTCCGCTAGAATAAGGAAGGAGGCGAGGCGTTCGAGCGCATGGTGCTCGAGCGCGAGGCGGCGCACTCGCGGCCGTCTGACAGCGCGCTGGCCCTAGTTTGCAGGTTGGCCAGTGATCAAGGCCGCCGGTGCTGTACCGCACACCGA